CTCACACTATCTATATTTTGCTTTTTACATGACTGTAAAATTGTGGCTATATGACATGGTTCAAATATATATTTTCATGTATATATATACCCAAGCACCATAAATCCAATGCTCTTTCCTTGACTCCCTGCACACAGTTGACACTACAACTTTTAAAATTTGCCAACATTTCTGCAAGTTCTAGCCGGTTCCTTCTTCTTTTTTTTTTTTTTTTTAAACATCAGAGCTAGGTATGAGTATCTCCATCTTTCACTATTAGATTTTATTTTCATGCCATGTGCATCATTTGTTAATTTCAATCTTTATTCTTTTCTACCTTCGCTTTACTTTATTATTTTAATATAGCCGGTTCCTACTATGCCAGATGAAGTGTGTTTATGGAATACAAATTTCAACATCTCCAACTCATACCTCCCAACAAGTCAACTGGAGAAAGAGGGACACAATTATTTTAGGGGTGTGAGTGGGGTTGTGGCCAGAGGTAGGGCTGTTTTGAGAAATGCTAGGTGACTTACTAATAACAATTTATGCAACAAAAATGTAATTTAGAACAAGAACAATGTATCTTATTTAAACAGACTGATTTCTAAACACAGTTGTTGTTTTTTTAAATACAAATTATTGTGTATTTTATTGCTGTGGAACTCTGCTTTACACTCAGACACACCAACAATATGGAGCTCCTAGAAAAGAGGGACATATGAATTTGGGTCCAAAATCGGGACACTTGGGGGTATGCCAACATACTCCTTCCCAATGTATTGTAATTGAGCCAGAGCTACACACATGCATGTGAATGTATCTCACAGTCCCACTCTTAAAACTTTTTAAGATTTCAGTAAACTTGCTTTGAGCCCATTAAGTCCAAATCATAAAACGAAGTGGTTCCAACTAATTAACTACATATCACTTAAAATGCTGCTGTGGAAGGATAAATAAAAATATATCCTCTAAATAAAGTATTGCAGTGATTTGACAAAAGATTTTCAGAACTTAGTAAAAAATAGCAAGCCTGCAGAATCTGAGATTTATTTTTGTTATATCGCTCATTTGACCTAAATTACACAAGTTATTTGTCACATCAAAATGATCTGTCTGGTGAATAAACTATTTTGGATTCTAATTCATAGTGATTGTACACTTTAATGGGCATTAGGTCTGTATTTTAGACTCAGTAGTAAAATCATAGAGTATTCTCTGTGATGTAAAACTACAATTTTTTGAGAAATATAATTTTTTATTAACCTTTCAGTAAATGTCAAACCTTATTAAAATGACATGTGCAAATGTTATTTTTTTTATTTTATTATTATTTTAATATTATATTTTATTTTTTCCCCATTTAGTGTTTAACAGATGTTTTGTTGAGACAGAAAGATCAACCTCTTTAGGATTCATGACTCTAAAACAGTATGGTACAGAGGAAAGGTCCCACCATATCCAGACTAAATCAGCCCTCCTCGCGTTCCAGTTGGACTTCTTTTCTTTTTTTATTGTCCAAATTTAGGAGACATTACTGTGGTTCCTGAGGGACCTGTTCAAGTCCTATAAGCGGCTGCTTGGGAATGCAGCTGTAGGTCATATTTAGCCAGACTATTGTGTTTTGCATTCTGGTGAATTTCTATGAACTGGTTCTACTTTTCACCAAAAAATTGTTCAGTAAACTGTTATAATGGTTAAACAGAGCTCACAGTGCACTTAACATTGGTTCAGTATTTACTACCTGTTGTAACTACTATCTCTCTCATCTATAAACAGTTGATGGAAACCATTATCATTATGAGCTAACTATGCTCCAGATATATTGGATTTTAACAGTTTGTTGTGCCCTCTATATGATGGGTGGACCAGTTAATAAATGATGCAAAATCTAAGTATTTATATTTCTTCTCTACACCAGATCATCCTTCTTACTATATCTCCTTAGATTTTAGCCAAACATAGTTCTATGGAAAATTGTCTGTAGTAGCAATAATGTTTTACAAGTTAGCAGTAAGTGAAAGCTTCTGGGAACAAGTTCCAGATGCAGAACTATTTAATTGTAAAATTATTTAGAGGGAAATTAGGTTTTATTCCTATTGTCACTTTGTTTGTCACTTTAAGTTAATACAACTAGTTAAGGGAATGTGAGGCTTAGTGCCTTTTTCACAAAGATAATGAAGAAGAAAGTGTGCTGGGATTAATAGAATTAGTGAGAGCATAAATAAAACAGTGTCTGCAGTATTGTATATAAACAATTGTACATAAACATGTTCTCTCCTCTGCGTCTCCTAATCATACAACCTATAATTAATGAATGTTCAAGCTTAAAAAAAGAGAAAGACAAAAAACAATTAGCTGTCAGCTTGTAGAAGAACATTATGTAAATTATTCAATATGTTTAGCAATACATCTATGTGATATCTGCAGTGAGCAGATTTAGGGAAGAAATAAATCCGTGTACGACGGTAACAAAGTTAACATTTTCATTTCTTATAGATTAAATTGCATTTATGTGCATGCATTTGTTGAGTGCTTCAAATATTTCTTTGAATAATTGTTCAACTCTATATTATTGTTCATGGGTAATAAAAACAACAGCATTGTGTTTGATCTTCTAACAGCTATTCAATTCACCAATATTTGAATTGAATTAATCATTCTAATTTTAAGAAGAACAGATCTGTCCAAAAAGTGTGGGAGGGGTTTTGCATCCTTTGTGTCAATGGATTCATGATCGTCTATGGAGATAAATGTTTTCGAAACTTAACTTATGTAGAATTCCTTGAATAGAAGTTCTTTGAAAGAAGTTTTCTCGTGTGTTCTTGTAGAAAATTAATTAAATTCACTGAGAATTATAAAACGATCTGAAGTTAACACTATAATGTTCTTCTAACTGTTTAGGTTACCACCCCACTGTTTACAATTCAGTTTTTCACCTTGTAGCCTTTGTTGTGTCTTCTGATGATGTTGGTCTTGTCTTCAATAGGAAAAAATTAAAGTGCGCATGCGTGGCAAAATACCATTGGAAGAGACCATTGGAAGCATAGTTTGCAAGTTCAAAGTTGAAGGAAGAGTGTTTACACTACCTGGGCAGATCAGAAAAAGGAAGGTTGTGAAAAACCCTCTAGTGACTGCAAAAGGCCTGCAGCAAGACTTGGAGGCAACAGGCACTGTGGTTTCAGTGAGCACTGTAAGGTGTGTACTAAATGTAAAACTGGAACTTTTGGACCCAATGAATCCGTGGTATGTCTAAAGGAAGAAGAATGAAAGACGAGAACACTATGCCTACAGTTAAGCATGGTGGCTGCTTGGTGATGTTTGGGAACTGCTTTGCATTCTCTGGCACTGGAAACCTGCAGTGTGTGGAAGGCAAGATGGATTAATTGAAGTATCAGGAAATCCTTAAGAAAGAGTTATGCCATCTGTGATGAAGCTGAAGTTGGGCTCACTGGACCTTCCAACAACACAATATTTCCAAGCATAACTCAAATTCTACCAAGGCTCGGTTAGGGAGAAGTCCTGTAAAAATCTTGGGACGGATTTGAAGAAAGCGGTTGCAGCACGCAAACCCAAGAATATTACTGAACTGATGGCCATTGCTCATGATTCCTCAGGAACATTGCCAGAAGCTGATGTCTGGTAATACATCTCGTTTGCAGCTGGCCTTAACAGCAAAAAGGTGCTCTAGTAAGTACTGAAGATGCTTGCCATGAAGGGGTTGAGTAATTTTGCGACTGGGGAAGTCCTTATAAGTTGCATTTTCAGTTGAATTAGGGGAAAACACTTTAAGCATTCATTGTGTTGAGCTATTTCAATTGGTTTTGTTTTATTTGTTCATTGGAAATACTTGAAAGTCTGTATATTTTGACAATAAATCAGATTTCCAGTGGGGGTTGAATAATTTTGAATACAACTATATAAATATATATTTGTATTACTGCACCTTCTGTTTATACGTATTAGTTACTTTTCTCACTTAATCTGTGAGCCAAATGGCGGGAAAATACTTCTATCAGTATACTTCAAAATATATTTAGAATATTATTTTATGTATATATTTTGCAGCACACACTGATTGGCCTATTTTTGTGCCATTTTTTGTTCTTCTATCTGAGTTCCAAACCAAAATCTGGGTTTCCAAATTCTGTTCAGCTGAGCCAACAATCAGCCGAAATTTGGGTGTCCTGAATTTTGTTTAAATAGTTTAATCAAGTCAAATTTTGTTTGTTGTTAAATAATATCAATACTAAAAGTAATCAAGATTTTGTGCATAATTGATTTTAAAAATCCTTGTTTTTTGTAATTCTTTTTTTTTTTTTGCAGTGCGTGGAAATTTCCCAGGAAAACAATTTTTAGCTCCATGTAATAGTAGTGTAACTACATAAAAAAGATAATGCATGACAGAATGCTTACACTAATTTTTAGTATACAGTGTTATAAGGGTAAGTCAGGCTAATTTTCATGTTAGTTTGTCCTGTTCTTGTACTGGCCATAACCAATGCTACATAAACTTATAGTGAGATAAAGTATATAAGGTGAATTCGAAGAATAGGTGAATCAAGATAGGAGACCATGTTTACAGTTATTACGTAAGCAAGCATGTAGTGTTTATCGTTGAAGTATCAGCATGCTAGCTGAGAAATACAGGTTGAATATACATCAGTAGGGAGACTATGCTTTAAGAAACAAACTGAGTGATACCACCAGGTATATATAATGAATCTTTCCAGAAACAAACTAGTATATCATGCAACATTGAAAGAAGAAAAAGAGAAAACACGGAATGTGGAAACACTTGTCGAATATACAACATTTGTTCTCAGATGCACATGATCTATATTATGGTAGCTATCAAACAAGCAAAGCCACCAAAATAAAATATGGGAATTCAGAATGTGTGCAACTGAGATGATAAATGTCAGTGTTCCAGTTTCTGCCAATACCACAGTTATGGTCTAGGTTGGCTCTGCTTTTGCTGGTAAGTACTGGGTGCTGAGTGACTCCTCTTACTCCTCCAGACCACACAAGGAGATCCCCCCGTACAGATGATGCCTTGTCACCACATGGCCCCACGTCTTCAGTGGCAGGGAAGAGACACTGCAGGGCTTCTGAAGTCACACAAGATTGTGGCCAGCAGATAGGTGCAGCGACCATCTTGGCTTTTGGCCTGGGAGACGAACAGGGCATCGAGGCACTGCTGGCACTTTCTGCAGGTGCAGGTGGTGTAAGTGACTGCTGCTCCAGTCGGGTCTCGATCTGGGCCCAGAAGGCAGAGCAGATTGCATCGAAGGCTGTGGAAAACTTGGATTCCCAGCTCTCTCACACATGCTTTTGTGGTGTGACGGCCATCTTAGGAATACCACGTGGCTTTGTCAGGTAAAGGAAATAGTAGCCCCTAGTCTGCTCAGAATTGGTGAATCGTTCCTGGTGAGGACCGGGATAACCTCTGCCGGTAAAAAGGGGGGAGGGATAGGGATAACAGCTGAAAGCATCAGGAACATTGGGGCAACCAGACCGGGAGTTTGGCTATTTCTCCCTTCCAAGGCTCGCCCACAGAGTATAGGCCACAGATCTGGTTTAGGCAGCAGGTGTCTCAGGGGTGCTGCAAACTCTCTCAGAGAGTCTGAGAGAGTCCCTCCGGCTGCCAGGAGAAGGTAAGTATGCAAACGATTGTATTTAGAGCTGAGCTGTAGGGCAAAAGGGCAAAATTTATCAGCATTGTCTGAGGAGCCCACTTGAAGCATGTCTGTCTATGATGCTTGCCAGGCCCCGCCCCCCAGCTAAACTTTTTTAATGCAACTCATATTAAATTTTCATGGGACCAGAAACCTTTTTTTAAATAGATTTGTATGTGGCGAAAAAAATCAGTTCGACAAATCGGTTTGTCCGGAAAAAAAATATTTGTTGTGGGTATCTTGAGAAAGGCAGCTGGAGGGTTGCCAAATGTTGGGGGATGGGTGAGTCATGTTGTGTCCTGTTAGGCTTGTTTATTGGTGGTAATTACCTTTGTATATGTCCCGTGATTTCTGTCACTTTGTCTATTTGTTTTTTGGACTTTGCATTTATGTATACTTTTTGTACTTTATTGAATAAAGGATTTATAAGTAATTTTCACTCGTTAGCTGATAAAGTGTGCATACTCATTTTTGTATATATGGTTTTGATGGCTTTTATATGCGATATAAGCAGAATTTTAGGTTTATCCTGCATGCGATTGTGTTATTTTCGTTAAATATATAACATAATTTTTGTACTGCAATTTAACCACTGCTGGTCATTTATTCTGTGACTAAAATCAACATTTAGTGGCAGTCCCCTAACCATCATGTTTCTTTTCTTTTTTTTGCTCCATGGGCAGAACTTTGAATGAACCCATTTGTCTTTTGTCCATTTCAGTTGTTTCAAGACATGTAAATATGTTGCTTCGGAGATACGGAATTTGAATGATCCACCGATTGCTTAAAATAAGGATGAATTCTAATTAGTATAAAACTGAATGCACAAGTTTATTTCTGGTTAATTACCAAACAAAAACATACATGTTTCAATCCATTAAAGGTCTAACCTTTCCTTTCACTACAGTGATGTTCGTTCCATCCCAACATTCTAGTTTGTCCCCAATGCATAATGCAGAGGGAAAGGAAATTACAAACCCTTATTTCTACATCAGTTTACAAAATCCTGTATGCATCCACAGGACGATGGATGGCTTCAAGCACATTGCAGGGCTTCTTTGCAGGCTGCTTTGTATTATAAAAATGTCTGGTGTTGGCATAATAACTGTATTTACTCTATAAAGCCGTTATGCTCATATACAGAACTTTTTAGCATTCTGGTAGCATTTTTTTTTTTATTTATACCTGTTATTAGTACGTATAACGTGGATGTTTAGCCATTTGATATTTGCTTGTTTCTTTACATGACAACACATAATATTTAGACCTTATGTAATAGTACAAGAGATACCATAGAATGTCATTAATATCTAAAAATGTTTATGGCATACATATTTTTATAAGGATCAATGAATACAGGAATAGTTTAAAAAAAAACTTGCTACATTTACGTAATTTTATTTTTTTAATATCATTGAACAGCAATCTCTACACATGCTTGCTATTAATTTTTGCCAAATTATATAACTAACTATTCACTAAATACAGAATTTCATTTAGCCAATTTTACTGATTTCATTTGGCTGAATTCTCCTGCATTCAGTTGTTAAAACTCCTGCATTCACTAACAACATGGAAATCAAAGAACGGTTACCAAAAATGAGCTGAATGTGACCCTTCCGTTTGCTACAGTGACATTCATTCTGGGGGAAAAAAGTATTTAAGATGCAAACGAATTATATATGAATGTCCATGTTAGAAGAAAGCAATTATGGCAAAGGTAAGAGTAAGGGCTTTAGGATTTCAGTATTCTTGCACGATTAAGAGGGACTAGCGGTAGTATTACAAAATAGATAACAGTGACCCAATACAAGCTATGTGCAAGTATGTAAGTAACTCTAACACCCTGGTGAGGTCCCCTTAACCTTCACCCACAAGGTAATACAAACACAAAAAAGTATAAGGTGGAGTATCTTACATGCGCTTTTCAAATAGTCCTATGATATGTCCTGAAAGGAAGTAAAACAACAAATAATAGTGCAATATTGCCTATACAATAAATAGCAGAAATTGAATAAAGTTCCAGCAAATGCAAACTCACAAAGGTGGAGCCACTATGAATTGGGCTCAGATAATTCACCTTGTGGGATGTAAAGAGTCCCACTCCCTTCTCTGTATCCTGAGATCTTTGTTAAAGATAATCACAAATTCGCAGATGATAAGTACAGAACTCTTCTAATTGTTTTATTACAATAAATTCTGTATTATTTTATCACATTCCTTCTGCGAATTTGTGATTATCTTTAACAAAGATCTCAGGATACAGAGAAGGGAGTGGGACTCTTTACATCCCACAAGGCGAATTATCTGAGCCCAATTCATAGTGGCTCCACCTTTGTGAGTTTGCATTTGCTGGAACTTTATTCAATTTCTGCTATTTATTGTATAGGCAATATTGCACTATTATTTGTTGTTTTACTTCCTTTCAGGACATATCATAGGACTATTTGAAAAGCGCATGTAAGATACTCCACCTTATACTTTTTTGTGTTTGTAGCGGTAGTATTAGATTGACACAGTTAGGAGAACCTACAGTTTTATGTACATTTCCCCTCATCTATATCAGGGGAATTGGAACAACAAAATAATTGGAATTTTTTTCGAATCATGAATGGTCAAATCAGGATAGTCATATGGAGATCCAGTTGCTTGCCAAATGGATGAGTAAATAAAGATGAACTACCCAAATCTGCCTTTACATAAACAAAGAAAAATCCTTACAACCACATTGCATTCAGCATTTAGTGCATAAACCCCTAAAACATTTTTTTGTGAAAACCCTGCCCACTTCTTAGATATATCAGGTGGTCTAAAGAAATCATAATTTTTCTGATTATAATAATGGAAAATTTAGGTCTACTGCCCACTGAATTGACACTCGCAGAAAATATGCTGCTTCTCTTATTAAATGTCATCAAAGTACGATGTGATGTCACAATGATTTAATAACATGTATTTATTGTTTGTTTGTTTTATTTCATTTTCCTTTTGCGCACTATTCGGTCCATGGTAAGATCCACTGTTATGGATATTTACGGTTGAGTTGAAAATTCCATTCAAATTGCTTTCTTTATATTTATTTTTCTAAAGTAGTATTAATTAAATCCAAAAACCTTTAGGGCCGCAGCATTTTGTAAAGAAAGGATATGTGAGGATCTGTGAGCACAATGTACGTGCCATTTATTCTTAACTTTCTAATAGAAAGAAGCTGATAATAAAAAGTCAGCAGTCAACCTTCAACTGTATTCTGACATTTATTATGGTTTAAAAAAACTCAAATACCTCAAAGGAATAAATTCTTCTGTGAAGTAACCTGATTACTTTCGGTCTCCTGGAAAGTAACATTCAGAAGAGGACCTGAAGGCATCTGAATAAAATATTTGGTCTAAAGAACATTTCTTGAGTTTTTTTTCTGCCTACAGTAATGTAACGAATGCAAATTGTTTCTTCTTTTTTCCGATCGAATATAATGAACTGTTTATTTAAATGTCACCAATGATAGCACAACAAATTCACTTGTTTGATCATTTATAATTAATGTACCTGTTGTGTAAATGTTTAATATTTCCTGCCTTTAATTAATGTTTCAAGTGACGAGTATTATGGGGCTCAAGAAAAACTTAACAAGAGACGACGCAAAGAATGCAGCAAAATCCAGTACCCAATTGACCCCACCATACATGGTGATGTTGTGCATGATGTCACATACAGTGTTTGATGATTTAGTTCCTTAACAGTTAAAAAAACCTGATTATTTAGTAAAACTATATTCCAAGTTTGGGTCAAACCACACTTCTTCTTCAAAGTGAGAGAAGAGGCTATCAAAATGGCCTATGAGATTTCCCTACATTGTCTTATTATTTTTTTTTAAAGAGAAACAGACCAGAAATGAAGACAAAAATATTTCAGATTCTGAAAAAGAAAGAATATGAAACAATCAGAAAATATATTTGAGGTGACAGAGCCTCATGGTGTAGGTAGGATTTGTGGTATAGTTTGGCATGGGTAAGGGTTAGGGCTAGAGGAAGGGTTAGGGTTAGGGGTAGGGTTAGGGGTAGATGTAGGGACAGGGTTAAGGTTAGGGGTAGGGTTATGGGTAGAGTTTTTGTTAGGGTAAGGGGTAAGAGGTAGAGGTAGGGTTAGGGGTAGGTGTAGGGGTAGGGTTAAGGTTAGGTTTAGGGTCAGGGGTAGGGTTAGAGGTAGGGTTAGAGGTAGGGTTAGGGGTAGTATTAGGATAAGTGGTAGAGGTATCTGCCAGTATTCCTGCATAAAGCTTCATATCTTCATTAAATAGAGAGATTGGGCGATAGCTGTCTTCTCTCTCTCAGTTCTTTCCAGATTTTAAGATTGGAACGATATTGTCTTTAATCAACTCTTCTGGAATTTTAGCTTTAGACTGAAATTCATTCAGTCCTCAAACAAGGTAATATTTCAGTTTTAAATAGTTTATAGAAAATCCCCGTAAACCTGTCTGGCCCTTGCTTTGTTAGGTTTCAGTAATTCTATCCGTGTATTTATTTCTTGTAAAGTAACTAGGGCATTAAGATCA